CATCCCGAGAGGTGCCAGTGCTAGCTCAGAGAACATCTTATCATCCCACTTGAACAACTATTTAAAAGCAATCTGCTGAACTTTTTAAAGTGGCAAGACACTATTTATTTAGGGAGAAAGGTAGCATTTTAACAAAATCAGGACTCTCTTGGAGGCAGATTATTCTGCATTACCACTGTCTTTACCAGAGAATTTGACACTAAGTATTATACAAAAATACAAAAAGAACTGGGCTAGATTTTCAAAGGATACCAGTCCAGTCAAAGATCAGGTCATTGCAACAAAAGCAAAGATGGAACTCTAAAAAAACACCTATTTAAAAGGATATGAAAGATGCAAGGTGTCAGTTTCTCTTGCTGGTCATGAAAGATGCAAGGTGTCAGTTTCTCTTGCTATCCTTTAAGAGCATCCCCCTGGTCGGCCCCCAATATCCTGTGTCTCTCTGTACTCCCCCTGGAGAGTTCATTCATTCTCTTGCTCCTATACCAGGATTTCTTCCCTCTCTCCCAGACACCCTTTTCCATTTCTTATTTTTTATGAGAGACTGACCTTCAGCAAGATCTTGTCATGTGATTTCTTCCCCAGATCTCCAGCTCCTTAGGATCCTGGGGACCCACCCACAAACCGGTTTTCAGGCTAAATCAGGGATCGAAACCCATGGTTGTCGCATGGCGTCCAGCCTGGCAGGGCACTTCCACTACCACTGCACCGCAGCGCCGGGCCTAACCCCATCTCTGTACCTGCCGCTTGGACACTGCTCTGTCACCTCTCCTCTCAGTAGGTTGAGAACTGGAGCTGTTCCCTCACTTGGCTGTCGGTTAGTGCTGCTGCTGGCCTTCTGGTCACACAGGTGTGGGACCCTGGAATCACTGCCTCCTCTCTCTTCCCTTCCTGCCCGCTGCCCTAACCCTGTTCTTTAGATCACTCCAAGTGAATCTTCCTTCAACCTGACATGGCTGCTTTCACCACATTTCTTCCCGGCTCACGCTTTCCTGTACCCAGTTGAATTTACTCATGTAGTTGTCAAGACAGCCATAATCTGATCCCTATCTGTTCAAACTGGTTTTCCACTACTCAAAATAGTAATAAAAGCTCCATAGTATGTCATATATACTATGAATAAGATTTGCATTCATTATCTCAATTGATGCTCATAATACAACTGGAAGCCGAAGCAGTCAACACTGTCTTTATTTTACAGGCTGGGAGACTGACAGGCACAAGATTACACCAGCAAAAACTGGGGTGTCCAGAATTAGAACTCCGATCTTTAGACTTGTCTTGTGCAGACCTCACTGTACCCTCAACACCTGCCTTCCTCTTCTTTGGCTCGGCAAACCCACTGAAGGGTCTGTTCCTGAAGGGCTGCTCAATGCTTCAGCAGACACAAAGACCAAGAATTCCTACCCTCAGTTACTTTTCTTTTTGGCAAGGGCTTACTATGTGGCAACCCTCCTGTCTCAGCCTCTGGAGCAACTGAGATCACGGACATGAACCATTGCACCTGGCTTCTAGGTGGGCCAGGAATCCAACGGGGGCCTCCCTGTGGCCTCGGCATGTGCAACTACAGCCAGTAGTTTACACTCTTCATAGGGAAAGGACAGCTACTACCTGAAAGAAGGCCACAGTGCATGGGCAGGAGAACCAGTAACAAAGCAGGCATAACAACCCAAGTGAAGCGCCTTGTGAGAGCAATACGCAGGCGACCTGCCACCTGAACGGTACATAACGTTTCCAAGCTGAGGCACCATTTGGAAAGGCACTAAGGGAGGATTTCTAAGGACCACGGGGGCAGGGCACACGCTCCTGACAGCAGAAACACATTTCACTCCCAGCTGCCCTCCCAGGCTCTCTTGTACAGTGTTCTTAGACCAGCCCAGAGCTGACCTCTCACCCCGCAAATCTCACCACACTTCCATATCACAGTGTAAAAGGATTCCTGTCTATCCTGCTGTTTTACAAGTCACTCTTCTCAATTAGATTTAAGCTCTTTAAAGGCAAGAATGAGGTCAGACTTCTATCCTCTCCAAAAATGCTCTGGCAAGTTGATGATGGCTTTACCAAAACTGTGGTAATAGTCCTGAACAATAAGAGTCCAAGAAAGCTTCATGCCTTCCATTGTGTTGGTCACTGAGATCCAACCTAAGAAAGTCGACAAGTGACCACAGCTTTTTTCAGTCTAGAGGTTTACTCTAAGGGATAGTTCTCTCCCTTCTCTGAAGCAGGTGTTCACAGACACTGCTGGTAAGTGTATAATTCAGCACATGTTCTATGGAGGAGAATAACAAAATTGAAAGTGGGCTATTCTTTGATCCAGCATCCCACAGATACACTAGACTATTTCCAGCACAGTAAAACATAGAAACAATGAACGGTGTCCCAAATGGGCAATGATTAAATCACAACACATCCATATCACGACGCATCCATACACAGAATCGTTGAGACGTACTAACTGAAAAAATGGCGAGTGCTATGGTGGTTAAGATGGCTGGACCTGGGACCAGCAGTTGGCATAATGGCTATGTCGCTGGACTCCCACATAGTCAACCGTGATTTGAGTCCCAGACCCGGTGGCTTAAACTCACGCCGGGCGCGTGTGCGTGCGTGCCCAAGATTCCGAGAGGAGAATGGAGGAGAAGAGATTGTGGCGTGGCCATCCCCCTGGGGGGTGATTTCTCACTCTCTCCTGTCTCTGTCTGTCTGTCTGGCTGGTGAGCGCATGCACCCTATTGTCTGGCTGGCTGGCTGGTGAGCGCATGCACCCTATTGTAAAAATCTCTCAAAAAAAAAAAAACAAGATGGCTGGACCTCACTGCACAGCTGGAGTCCCAGACCCGGTTGCCACTGGGCGCATGCGTGTGTGTGTGCCCAAAATCCCAAGAAGCTGCCACTGGGCGAGTGCGTGTGTGTGTGCCCAAAATCCCAAGAAGAGAATAGAGAAGGGGCTGAGGTGTGGCCATCCCCCCCACCCCCGGAGGGTGATTCATCACCTTCCCTTTCTGTCTCTCTCCAGTGAGTATGCACACCCAATAGCAAAATAAAAATAAATTTTTAAAAAATGGTCAGCAGGAGGTATGGTAGTTAAGATGCTGGATTCTCTTGGGACCAACAGATGGAGTAATGATTACATCACTGGACTCCCACACAGTCGACCACAGTTTGAGTCCTGGACCTGGATGCTTAAAATTCACACCAGGCATATATGCGTGCTTGCTCAAAATCCTGAGAGGAGAATGGAGGAAAAGGGACTGTGGTGTAACCATCCCCCTTAAGAGATGATTTCTCACTTTCTATCTCTCTGTCTCTCCAGCAAGCACAGGCGCCCTATAGCAAAAATCTCTCCTTTAAAAGAAAAAAAGATGCTGGATTCCCACATGGCTGACCATGGATCAAGTCTCAGACCCAGCGGCTTGAAAATTATAATAAATAAGTAGATAGATAAATAAATACGTTTTAAAAGTTTTTTTAAAAAGAGAGAGATACATAAAACCTAGGAACATAAGATTTAGAGAGATGAATGATCCTTGTTTCTCTGAGAAATAGATCATTTTCTTTTTTTTTTTTTTAAAAAAGAATGATTTTATTTATTTATTTTCATTTGATCAGAGACAGACAGTGAGAGGGAAACAGAGAGATGGAAAGTGAGAAAGCAAGCCACCAGGTCCAGGACTCAAACCACAGTCAGCCATGTGGAAGTCCAGCACCCTTAACCACCACACCACCTGCTGGCCCCAAGATCATTTTCTTTACCTGTGTGTTAAGTCCTTTTGCCAAAATCTGGCCAAATGTTTTTGAATGGATGGATTTATCTCATCTAGAAATAAAGTATTCCCCATAAATAAGTAGTTGCAAAGCAGCATGAAGGCTGGGGAAGACGTCCATGGCTGAGAATCACTTTGCCTCACAGGCTCACTCACTTCCATGAATGAGCACCCGCATGCAAGGATGGTACAGGCTGAGACGCAGACGCTGCCTGATAGCCTGCCAGGAAAGAGAAGAGACCAAACACAAAGGATGATCTGGCAGAAAAGCTACACACGAGTTTTAAAATAAGGAATTTCTGAAACAGCTTAGTAGGCATAGTTGAAAACCACTGGCTTAATCACAAATACAAAGCCACATCTCAGAGGAGTATATCATTAATTTAGCAAAACAGAAAAAATGAAGGCAGGACAACTAAGGACTTCTAAGCACACCCCGGCAGCACAGGGAGACAGGTGGGTGCTAATGGAGGGTGTCATTTAAATTAGCTGCCCTCCTCTCCCACTTGGCAATCCAGTTACCTACAGAGATGCATTTGAAGTCAGCCTTTGGCTGGGTGTAATCGTTCGGTCAACAAATATTTACTGTACAACCTACTATGCACAAGTCTATGCTGTCTCCAGCACACTCAGTCCATGAGATTAGTAATAATTTTGGCCTTTGTCCAAGACTGCTCTTCGCACCAAGCACAAGTCAGCTTGGCCTCTCAAGATGAAGGTCAACAGTTCTATAGCCAAAAAGTACCAACCTTATCTGCAGGCAGAAACAGTAAATGGAACACCCATGTGTGCAAGGCAAAAGTCTGACAGCAGGTCAGATGGTGGCACAATAGTCATATAACTGGACCCATATGGGAAGGTCTGGGTTCATGTCCCAGGGCCTCCCTGCCCAAGCGGGGAGCACACGTGTGCCTATCTGGCCTGGCTGAAGCTGGGAGTGGATCACAGCATGAAGATCCTATAGGGGGTGCCTATGTTGCTTCCCTCACCTCTTCTCTCCCTCTTCTCCTCCTGCTCTCTTCTTCCCTCTCTTTCTCTATCTCTCTCATTGAATAAATAAATAAATAAGCCCTTAAAAAAAGAAGTCTGATGAATCCAGAGAAGAGATACATACCAGAGAATCAAATACAGCCAGCCCACATGTCAACACAATGTCTGAGCAAACCTACCCAGATGAGTCCCGTTCAAACAAGCTTTGTAAAGGTTTCCTCGTGTTATTTATATTCTCGAAGTGAATTTATTTTATAAGCTGCTAGCGAATTTTTTATTTAATAATGTCCTAACATAAAAGTTCACACAACTGCTTCTTTCAAACCATGATACTGAGCTTTATCACAACTCTGAAACAGGAACTGAAAGAAAGCAAACATAATGTCCAGAGACAGTCATACAGTTAGAAACAGCCGAGCCTTCATCTGGAGAGCACAGGCGGTTGTTGGTGTACCAGTGTGCGGGCCTTTCAGGGAGGTGAGCGACCTTCCGACTGTTCGCCAGGTGTCTGCACACGCTGGTCCTGTGGAACTTCTTTCTGAGGCTGGTGTTCTTCCGGTGCTGTTTGGGGTCTCTCACTCATTTGTTCAGATTTCCGGGAAGTGTGACTGCCTTCCTGTTGCTTAAAAGACCAGACATGAATACGTCACACAGAGGTCATCTTTCACTCAGTTAACTGGCTGAAGTCATATGAGAAGGTACATTCTGTCACTGAATGAAAAGTTTTGCACTAATATCTCAGGGCAAATTCCATGATAAGAAATAGTAAATATGATACAAATTTCTACAGAACCATAATTTCAAAACCTTAATGATAATCCACTTTCTAGATACTAATTGTTACCATAGAGTTCCAGTACACCCAACTAATGCTTATTGATCTGGAGTTTAAGAACATGAGCCAAGGATGGGGGAAAGAACCAAGCCTCCCTTTAACATCTGACAAACAGGCAACTATTCCTACCGCAATCTTAACAATGAAACACTCACGGTCCTCGCTTCTCCTGCTCGTCTTAAAATGACACCTTCTGCCAATAAAGCCTTCCCTGCTTCCACAAATAACTTCTCTTCATCTGTTTCTCCGAGGTTCTGTAGTTCAGTGTACTTCTCCACAAACCTGGAATCCCAAGCAGTCAGACCTTAGCTCTGTGGACCACCATCAAGACATGCTGTTACACAGTGTCGAGCATTCCCCTTACAGATCTTCTATAGAAGCACCTTTTTCCTCAGGTGGAACTCAACTAATTTCTCAAACTGATAACTAATTCAAAGGAACCCAGGACTTGGAAAATGGCTTACCGCTGACAGGTAGACTTGAAGTTTGGATTGAACAGATCAAAAGCTTTTTGACCAGATCCATAGGCTGAATAAAATTTCCTAGGAAATATGAATTACACAATATAAATATCTAGTTGTAGACTGTGGCTGAGAGCAGAGTAAGGGGAATAAAGAATAACTGCTAGGTTCTGAGGAGTTAAGCACAGTATGAACCACAGAGCATAAGCCCAACAGATTTGTTGTTTAAGTGAGTAACGCACGCAAATGATAAGTATATCAGATGGTACAAAAGGGAGTCCAGTGAAGAGTCACACGCTCCCCACTTCCTGCACCCCAACCGCCCCAGTCTCCTCCCAGGAAGCAACAGTAAGCAGTTTCAAACTGTACCTCCACCCAGAAATGTACGCACTCATTCATGCATCTATCATCCTCTGTTCCCAGCCACATTTTTTAACCCAAAGAACAGTAAATACTGCTCTGCGTTTTCCCTTCAAAAAAAGTATTGCCAGAGGGCATGTGGGCTTGCCAGAGACAAGGAAAGGATATGAGATAAAACACCACCCCAACGGTGCTCTATCCTGTCAGGACTGTGGGCAGGCACACATGCTTGAGTGCCTGCACACGCGTGCGTGCACACACACACACACACACACACACACACATACACACCACTGGTTTCAAGCCCATAGGGCCAAGATTCAAACTGCAGTTGGTCACACAAAATCTGGCTCCTTTAACCACTAGGCTACAAGGCTGGACCTATTTTCCAACTTTGTCACCTTTGCCAATTTGATAGGTGAAAAATTATAATTCATAGTTTTTTCATTCATTCATTCGTCCATTCATTCATTCATTTGGAGATTTTTGCCATAGGGTGCTCACTGGAGACAGAAAGCAAGGGAAAATTCAAAATCACGCTTGGGGATAGCTACGTCACTATCCCTTCTCCATTCTCCTCTCAGAATTTTGGGAACTACATGCCCAACATGTTTTCTAAGCCACCAGGTCTGGGACTTGAACCACGAAGTCAGCAATGTGGATCCAATGCCTTAACTGTCATGCCACCTGCTGGCCCATATTTGTTTTTCTTATGAAAGAGATTGGGTATCTTTTCAAATTTAAAGAAAATCCAGATAGGAGGGAGAGATGGAGAAGGGACTGTGGCACGACCACATGGGAGGATACTTTCCCTCTTTGTCACCCTCTGACTAATGCACATACCTTTTGGCAGTTTTGTTTTTGTTTTTGTTTTTAAAAAATTACTTTATTTAACTTTATTTTAATTTGACCAGAGAGGGACAGAGAGAGAGAGAGAAAGTGAGAAAGCAAGCCACCAGGTCCGGGACTCCAACTGCAGCTGGCCATGTGGAAGTCCAGCACCCTTAATCACCACATCACCTGCAGGTACCAGCAAAGGTTTTTTAAAAGCAAATTAAATTTCCCTTTCTATGAACTGCCTATATTCTCTGCATATTCTTCTATTTGGTGGTTGCTGTGTCCCCTCCAAAATTCCTATGTAGAAACCCTAATCCCCAGCGTGATGGTATTTAGAGATGAGACCTTTGAGAGGAACTTAGGTCATGGGTAGAGCCTTCACAATGGGTCAGTACCCTCATAAGAGACAAGATGGAGCTTGGTTCCCTTCTCTCCTCCATGTGAGGACACAACAGGGAGCTGCCCCTCTTTGAATCAGTAAGACAGCCCTCACCAGAACCTACTGCTGCTGTCATGATCTGACTTCCCAGGCTCCAGAACTACCAGAAATACATGTCTGTGGTTTATGAGCCACCCGGTCTAGTATAATTTGTTGTAGCCGCCCAAACTGAGACAGTGGTCTTTTTCTGGCATAATAATTTTTTTGAAAAATGTTCACACTGGGGGCCAGCCAGGGGGCACAGTAGTTAAGATGAATGAATCCCACATGGCCAAGTGCAGGGTTCAAGTTTCAGACCCGACAGCTTTAAAAACATGCCAGGCACACGTGCATGAATGCTCAAAATCCTAAGAGGAGAATGGAGAAACGATTGCAGTGTGGCCATCTCGCCAGGGATGTTTTCTCACTCCTCACCCCCATCCCTCCCTGTCTCTCTCTGGCAAAAGCACAAGCCTTATAGCAAATTTATTTTTTAAAAACTTAACACTGTTTAACTTAATTCAAGTAACAGAAATTCACCCTAATATAGCTAATACTATATAGACACCATAAATGTCCAAAACTAGGGAAAATGTTAAATAGAGCGTTCATAGGCTAAAAAAAAAATTAAGTTTGTTCTAGGATGCATGTGCTTGCCTAAGACAGACAGATAGAAGAGAGGGGAAAGGTGTTAAATTGTTAAATATAGAGCGTTCATAGGCTAAAAAAAAAATTTTTAAGTTTGTTCTAGGATGCATGTGCTTGCCTAAGACAGACAGATAGAAGAGAGGGGAAAGGTGTTAAATCATCCCCCAGAAAGGATGGCCATGCTGCAATCCCTTCTCCATTTTCCTCTCAGGATTTTGCCTGATAGCACATGCCCTGTGTGATTTTCAAGCCAGCAGATTCAGGACTCAAACTGCAAAGTCAGCCATGTGGGATCCAGCCACCTTAACCTCCATGCCACCCAAAAGGTTAATGTAGTTTCTAAAATGTGTAACAACATGAGAAAATGCTCACGATAATGTTAAGTAGAAGAAAGGACACAAATTATTTGTATCATGTGTTACTGATGACATATATACACACACATACATATGTACAAAAGAATGAAAGAAAACAGACCCAAATGTTATTAATAATGACAATATTAGTTAACATTTATTGAAGGCTTACTTTGTGCCAGGCACTAAACTAAAAATTTTTGATGCATTACCTTATTTAACATTTATAATTCTAGAAAGTACTAATGCTATTATATTTTACTCTGTAGAAACTGAAACTTAAGGAGAGTAATTTGCCTAGTCTAGTCTGTGGCCTGGTGGTTAAGTGAGGTGGATCCAACATGGCTGACCATACAGCTCAAGTCCTGGACCCCACAGCTTGAAAAATATGCTGGGTGCATGTGCATGCATATGCACGCCCAAAATCCTGAAAGGAAGGAGAGATGGAGAAGGGACTGAGGCGTGACTATCCCCCATGAGGAAGGAAGGTACTTTCTCACTAACCCCCCTGCCCATTCTCTCCAGCAAACACACACACCTTTCTAAAATTAAGAAAAAAAAAAAAAAAAAAGTACATAGTCATGCAGCTGAGTGAGTAGCAGGGTTTGTTTTCCAACCATTATCTCCGGATGGTGGGATTATGGGTGTATTTATACTTGCTTTGTTCCTCTATTTTCCACAATAAGCTTTTTTTTTTTTAAGTTTCTTTCTTCTGTGAGTGAAAGACAGAGAGGTTCCCTTGACAGCGTTTCACCACATCATGATCCTTTTACTCCCACTTCTATCCCTCCCTCCAAGGCAGCCAGCACACAGGCATGCAGGTGTGCAGGTAGACCTGGGATCCAAACCTGGCTTCCCATGTGGTTTCAGCATAGCACAGCAGTGTCCTATGGCCTGCACCAGTGGGGCTGGGCCAAATACAAATAATATAAATACAAATAAATGTACTACTTTTCTAATAAAAGAGAAAATAGATACTAAAGAAATAAGGAACACAAGCACTTTCCCTCAAATTTCAGTGATGACTTTTTTTTTAGAGATATTTTTGCTATAGGGTGCGTGCACTCACTAGAGAGACAGAAAGTGAGAACTCACCCCCAGGGGGATGGCCACACTGCAATGCCTTCTCCTCCATTATCCTCTTGGGGCACACGCATCCAGCATGATTTTCAAGCCACCAGGTCTGAGACTCGATCTAATCCCGCAATATAACCATTATGCCATTTGCTGGTCCTAGTGATGAGCAATTTCAAATTCCCTGGACATCTAAGCATACTTCTGTCTCAGTGGCTTCGTAGATTCCAACTACTAGATCCATAGACTATGCCCTCCTATCTCTGCTCCTGGAGCAGACATAATGACCAACCTAAGTGTGGAGTCACAGATTGATTCTCAGATCTGCTACCCTCCTGTGCAGCCACAGTAAGTTAGCTAACATCTTTGCACCTTGAAGACTCTCAAATAAGATGGAGACAAGCACACCCATGTTACAGTGTTAGAGCTCAGACCTCAGAGAAAATGAGATGACGTTTCTACAGGGCCTAGCACAATGCCTGGCACAAAGCAGCATGCAGAAAGAGGGCTATAATTATCTGCAATGATCTCGTAGTTGCTGGGCTCCATATTCCACTTCTCAGAACCTCTGTTTTCCTACCAGAAGGGTGGGGAGCTGACCCCCTAACCTGGCTAGATGTATCAGCCCGGTTATATATCTCCACAGGACAAGCCCCTGGCTTAAGTTACCAGACTGCTACCCAAACTTTTCCTTCTGAGGTTCTGTTGCCTCTGGTCCTCTCCCTGGGCTGTACACTCACGCTCTAATCCGATCCTCTTCGTAAAAGATGTCCTGGATGGCGGGTTTGGCTTTGCCATATCGCAAGCGGGGCCTTCGGAAGACAGGCTCTCTCAGCGGGGGAAAGGCGTCATATATGTCATACCAGAGGGGCTTCTCCTTCAACACCCCAGATCGAATCAGGTCCCGAGTCCTGAGGGAGAGGAAAGAACGAAGGTCAGTTGGTTATGACACCCAACCAATGTCCCCAAATCAGTCCAGCACTGCCTGGGACATCCAAGGTCTCAGGCAGTCCACAAATTAACAGGGGAAGGAGAACGGGGCAGAGACGCTCCCCACCTACAGGGAAACCGACTGAAGAATGCACGCGGTGACGTTCGGGAAAGATGGCCCATCAGGCTCTCCCTCCCTTCCTCCGCTTGGAGACCTCCACTCGGCAAGGGCGGGAGTGTGCAATCTTCAACGTGACAGAGACGACGCCGAGCACAGCTAGCCCGAGCCAGGAGACGCGCGCGGACCTCACTCGGCTCGGACACTCGCACCCCGCAGGCGGCCTCGCCCTGCTCACCCCACGCAAGGATGAGCAGGACCTGCAGGGGACCCCCGCCCACTCCGTCCCGGCACACACACCGAGAGAAGACGCTGCCCACGGTCTCCAGCCGGCTGCCCGCCATGGGCTGCCCCACGGACC